CCATCAAATTTTTGATTTTAGTATTTTGTGGGTTTCTTTGTAGTTCTATCTCCAATTTCCTATATTCTTCCTCTATCTTTTTTTTTGTGTGTTTGTCTATTCTGTTTGTTCCTTTTTCCTAGATAAGTCATTACTAGTCCTCTAGTATATGCTTTGCTGGTAAGAAAAAGTTCAGTTCTTTTTCCATATATTGCTGAAATTCTTTTTCATTTAGTAAATTCTGATTTAATGTCCATCTCATTCTTTTTCTCTGACCTTTCCATGTCAATATTATTGGGTTGTGGTCTGCCCATATACTCGTTTCTATACCAATCTTCTGTGTTTTAGCAATTAGATCTATTGTCGTCCAAATCATGTCTATTCTTGACCATGACATATGTCTATTTGAGTAAAATGTAAATTGTTTTTGTCTCAAGTGTCTTCTTCTCCACACATCTTGTAAGCTTAGTTCATCCATCATTGTAAAGAATGTTTTAAAAAACATTCTCCTTAGCTTCTTGTTCAACTTTGTAGTTTTATAGTCCAACTCATTTACAATCGCATTAAAGTCCCCTAATTTCTTCATATTCATATTCTATTATCTTTTTATGTAGTTTTCCATAAAATTCTTCTTGATTCTCATTTGGTGCATATATTGCCACCAGCAATATTTTTTTTTAGAGATCATCATTATTTCCACTATCAATATTCTTCCCTCTTCATCTTCAAATATTTGCTTTGACTTTTTAATATATAGTGCCACACCTTTTTTGCTTTAATCTGCAAGTGTCATGTACAGCTTCCCCAATTTTGGATAGTCCAATTTTTTTTTTCTTTTTTGATATGTACTTCTTGCAGGTATATTATATCTAGTTTCAATTTCTCTAATTTATTAAATGTCCTTTTCCTTTTTATGCTCGAATTTAGTCCATTTATGTTTAATGAAATTATTTTTATTTCTTCTTCTATGTCTTAGTTGTTTGTGGGTTTAGTTGATCTAGCACAAGAGACTAAGCTGAGTGAACATCAAAGGAATAAAATGTAGCAGGCTTGTTATAGCAATCTCCTGGAAAGTTAGTCTTTCTTCACTTTGTGTCTATCTTCCTTACATATTTAGATGGAAAATGTATTTTGTATTCACTAATCATTTAATATTATGGAATATTGCACTCTTTACTAGAGACATACCTACCTATCCTTTTTCTTACTTATGGTTTACTGGAATTGACAAGTTTTTGTTTGTTTGCTTAAAATTCATTGTCATGGAAACCAATATCTGCAGTGTCCCGGAGTCATGGGAGAGCCATTTAGGACCTTCCCAGGTGACTTCTGACAAGTTGCTTAACAACTGTGGCAAAAAGGTCATAAAATTGGATGTGACTCACTTAACAATTGCCTTGCTGAGCAATGGAAATTTTGGTGCCAATTGTGGTCATAAGTCAAGGACTGCTACTTTTTCAAGAAATTCCTTTAAAAATAATGCATCATCATCATCATTCCAGCCATTGCCTATCTATCTATCTATCTATCTATCTATCTATCTATCTATCTATCTATCTATCTATCTATCTATCTATCTATCTATCTATCTATCNCATGCACGGCTCGTATTTTGAGGAACTAACAATATGTGTCTACCAAACAGATTAACAGCCAAGCCAGCAGATGGGCTAAAATAGATGTTTTGCCTCAGCATATTTCACGTACAGACCTTCTTCTAACCCATGTCTAACCGCACTATGTCCTAAAAGCAAACCTTGCAATTTCTATATGAACAGTTAAAGCTTAATATCATGAAAGCCTAGTTTGGTTCAGGCTTGAGGCCTACTTTGGTTCAGCCTGCCACCTTACCACAGCTTCTGTTCCATGGATTGATTGATAGTAAAATAAGTATGATCTGTGCCCTTTTTCCTATTCCTTAGGAGCAGCAAAGGATCTTGGAACTGGGGATCACTGGCCCTGAAGGGCATGTTCTGAGCAGGCCTGAAGAAGTGAGTGCATTATAAAATGTTTAGCTTGTTCCTAGGTTTTAATTGCATTTCAGAGAGCCAGCAGCATGATGAAGCATTGCATCCTCAATTCAAGCATTTGGATTCTCTATTTAGTGGTCTCTAGATAGAAAACTCCCTTGTATTTTATATGCACAAGGTTTGTGGGTAAAACTCTTGCATCTTTTAGGTTTTTAATAGTGCTGAGCAAGTAATTTTTTTCCCCTACAAGGTATCACTGAATGTGTTAAAAGAAAATTAACATTAGAAACTCTTTCACAATAGAACTCTTTCAAAAATAAATGAGTAAAGTATTCTTTCACTTATTTAGTGCTAGATTCACTTTTTCACCGTATAAGCCTTTCCCACAGCCACTTCCATATTTTCTAACCCCAAGGAAACTTGGTTCTTCTGGCCCTCAAACAGTTCTTGGATGGATTCCCTTCCCTTGGACACATGCAGAAAAGTAATCCAACCAATTTCTTTGGTGACAGATGGAGAATTTCAGAAGGTCGTTTTATGTCCAAGAAGGAGGAGAAGAACGCTCTGAAAGATGGTTGAATAACTCCTGAGTGTAGATGTTTTGATTTTCTGTATTTCCAAAACAAGATTGGAAAAGAATTTAATGTGAAATCTGGAAATGTTGCTGCTGCTGGACCTTGTAAATAGTAGCAACTAAGGACATAAACCACTATGTTCCAGAGGAAGAACATTCCATATCTGGAACAGAACAGCTTGTTCCTATTTAGTACTGACCTACATAGGCTAAGAAGCAGGGGTGAAATGCTACCGGTTCGCTCAAACCGATAGTAAAAAATGCTAACGGTTCAGGCGTACCAGTATTTCTGACGATCAGCTGTGATACGTGATTTATAATAGCTTAGAATCGTCAAATTTCCTGCTTACTAGCTAGCCTAAATCACGTGGCACAGCAGATTCCTTCCCTCGCTGTTCTACTTACCTTTGCACACTCGGAAGGCTTCAAAATGTTCCTTCTTTAGTAGTGCGTGGACATGCCTCAGGTGGGCATGTGGGCGCAAAGCACGTGCTCGGTAGCAGACTCACCAAACCGGTAGCAGACTTCAGAGGTTTTCACCAGGCTAACCTGGTGTTGTGCTCCGTGAGAGGGCAGCTGGGCACTGTGCATATGCAAGCCGGACCAGGTGTCTGGCATGCATGCGCGTGCGAGAACGTGGAAGAGCAGCTGGCGATGACGCATATGCCCACAGAGCGGGCTTTGTATGCCACCTCTGGAACGTGTGCCATAAGCTTGCCATCACAGTTCTAAAGGATGGAGCACTGGCAGTGTCCAGTGACAAACCCAGATTCTTCTGCCAGGAGACGGAGGAAGGAAGCATCCCAGAAGGTTGAATGTGAAGGGGAGAGAAGCCATAGAGGTAGCCTTCTTTGGTTTAGTGACCATTCAAAGTTGCAAAGGCACTGAAAAAGAAACATGTGATCATTTTTCACATGGCTGTTGCAGCATCCTCATGGTTACTTGATCAAAATTCTGGCAACCGATTCATATTTATGACCAGGGTCACATGATCCCCTTTTGCAACCTTCTGACTAACAAAATCAATGGGGGAGCCAGATGAACAGCCACATTACTAACTTAACCGCTGCAGGGAGTCACTTAACAACTGTGGCAAGAAAGGTCATAGAATGGGACGAAACTCACTGAGCAACTGTCTTGCTTAGCAATGCAAATCTAGGACTCAGTTGTCGTAAGTCAAGGGCTTACCTGTACTGAAAAAAAACTGGTCAAAAATTTGAGTTGGAGGCAAGGGGTGGGGGAGGAGATGGAAAGCAGAAAGCCCTGCTGAGATGGAGGAAAATAAATAAAGGTTCCCCTGGCACATATGTGCTAGTCGTTCCCGACTCTAGGGGGCGGTGCTCATCTCTGTTTCAAAGCCGAAGAGCCAGCGCTGTCCGAAGACTCCGTGGCCGGCGTAGAGCCAAGGTGGCGCAGTGGTTAAATGCAGCACTGCAGGCTACTGCTAGATCAGCAG